CCTCAGTTTCCCGCAGTCCCAAATCCCGGAATTTTCCCTTTTTCCCCCCAAAAAAATCCCCCCGGGGGGGCGGGGCCTCCAGGAAGTCCCCAAATCCCGGCGGGACCCGGCGCCACTTCCCCTTCCCGGGGCGGGGGTTGGGGACACTGGGGACACCTTGGGGACATTGGGGACCCTCCCGCTGAAATTGTCCCTCCTGTCCCCTCCCCCTCAGGCTGCCACCGCCGCCCACGTCCTGCTCAGTGCCGGTAAGTCCCGGATGTCCCCCGTGTCCCCTCCTGGCCCTTCCTGTCCCCTCCTGTCCCCCCCCCCATGTCACCTCCTCCCCCCAGCCCGCCAAGTCAACTCGAAATTGTCACTCGGGCTCCTCGCAGAGGAAGTGTCACCTCCCCGATGTCACCTCCCCGATGTCACCTCCCCCGCGGCATCCGGGGGTGGCACAAGCGGCGTCACGGAGTGTCCCCATAGTGTCAGTGTCCCCAGGGTGTCATGGAGTGTCCCCAGAGTGTCTCCAGAGTGTCACGGAATGTCCCCGAGGTGTCACCCTTGGTGTCATCTCCTCCCCTCTGTCCCCTACCCCACCCGTTGTCCCCTCTGTCCCCAGCCTCACCCAGTGTCCCCTGTTGTCCCCAGGCTGTCCCCTGTCCCCTGACCGCTGTCCCCTGTCCCCAGGCTCGCTGTCACTGCCGCTGTCCCCAGGCTGGCACTACGAGGACGGTGTCCAGGGCGTCTTCCTGAGCGGTGACATCCGTCCGGGCACCGCGGGGACACTGCGGGTGACATCGGGTGGCCTCTACCTCCTCTACGGCCAGCTGGGTGTCACCTGCACGGCGGCCACCTGTCCCCAGGGCGGTGTCACCCTGCGGCTGCGCCGCGCCGCGTCCCCGAGGCCGCTGCTGGCCGTGCCACTGACCCTGCCGGCCGCGGCCGGGGGCCACCAGCAGCGGTCAGCGCTGGCCCAGGCCGTGGGACAGCTGCGGCCTGGGGACATCCTCAGCCTGGAGCTGGTTGGGGACACCGGAGGGGACACGGGCGGGTGGCAGCTGGCGCAGGACGAGCGCGAGGGCAACTTCGTGGGGCTGCTGCGCATCGCGGGGGGTGACACCAGGTGACACCGGGAGTGACAGCGGGGGTGACAGCGGGTGACACCGGGAGTGACACTGGGGGTGACACGGGCGTGGCTGGCCTCGTGTCCTGCTGGTCACCTGCCAGCACAGGGCTTGGGGACATCCAGGACTCGAGTGTGGAGGTTTGGGGACGTCAAGGGACGTCGGTGACATCCATGGTTGGAGATTTGGGGACAAGGGACGTCGGTGACATCCATGGTTGGAGATCTGGAGATGAGACCCCCCCTGCCCAGAGCTTTGGGGACATCAAGGGACACCAAGTGACGCCTGTGGCCTCCGCGGCCGGAGATTTGGGGACATCAGGGGACATCACCGACCCCCCCGTTGGTGCCTGGGGACATTCGGGGACCTCGTGGACGCAGTGCTGGACACTTGGGGACATTTGGGGACCCAGTGCTGGACACTTGGGGACCCTGGGGCCTCCTTGGGGACATTGGGGACACTTTGGGGGGACCCTGCTGTCTCCTACCCCTCCCCCCACAGCTGGCCTGGGGGGGGGGATCCTCCCCCCTAAATTATTATCCTTAATTATTTATTAATGAATTAATAAATTTATTTATGAATTATTTAGGGTGGCCCTGAGGGACCTCTGGGGGTCCCCAGCTGCAAATCGCCCCCAAATTTCCCCCAGAACCTCCTGGACCCCTCGAGCGGCTCCGGAAAGTTCCGGAAACC